ACAAAGTGAACTGTAACAAAAAAGACTTTATGGACAAAATTGTCGATATGTTTGGTAGGGACAGCAGACGACTCCAGTTCTTGTGCGACAGCAGACGACTCCAGTTCTTGTGCGACAGCAGACGACTCCAGTTCTTGTTTAAAGAATACATTTTATTGTAAATTTATTTATGTTGTAACATTTTTTGATATATGCAAAAATTGTGTTAATAAAAAAATGTTTTGCTACAGTATGCCCTTCATTACTACAGTGTTATTTCCGTTCGTTCACCATACAAATAAGCTACAGTAAATTAAACCTACATTAAAACATTACTAAAAATATTTGCCCCCCCCCCTCCCCGTAAATTTTCTGCGGGCGCCCTTGGTGTGTATGTATTCTTCTGTCCCCTCCCAGCATTCCCTGGTCACGTGTGGATGGAAGCAACCACTGGCACTGGGCTTATGTCAAGTTAAGTTCCTCGGTGATGTCCCTGAGAACGGTGAGCTATTCTTACTTTGGCTGCTATCACGTCATAGATGACATCATGGCCGCTCATGCTGCTGGCTTTAGGGCAGTCCATATAAACAAAGTGAGTCTGAGGGGATGGGGGTGGGGGTGAAGGGTAATATCAGTTCAATGTCAACAATGTTAGAATAGTGATATTTAGGGTAATATCACAAATGTATGAACAGCCATATTTAGGCAAATATCACACATTTTTGTATAGTGATATTTAAAGGTAATTTCACAAGATATATAAATGGTGATATTTAGGGTTATATAAAAAAATCCAGGTTGCTGGGTCACCGAATAGTCTAAACTGATTCAACCCAAATATCTGAAGGTCTGGAGTCCAATCTCCCCTGAAGCAATAACATCCTCAGCGACGGGGGGTAATTTGACTCGTTAGCCTTGGACGGCAACTCATCTATGAGAGTGCAAACTCTGAATGCAAAGAAGCACCCAGAATGATCAATAAATGATCTATATATATAGAAAAGAGATATAATTAATGAATAATAATATTAATGGAAACATCATGGCTTTAGGAATAGCCATATGCAGGATAGCGTCACACACATCTTGAAATTGATTTTTCATTAAGATCACAGGGGTCGTTACAGGTTAACTTCCTGTGAATTTAGTTTTAAATTTCTTTATACTTTGTGTGTATATAATGGAAAATGTATGCACATGAGATGAATGGGATGTTACAGATTATAGTAGATAGTATGGATGTTGCTTGTCCCTTTAATAGAAGATACAAAGTGTAAATAAGTACCAGTGTTTAAGCCATTGATGTGGCATTTTGAACATGACTCCATTTCTGTCCCACGTTCCAAGCTGTGCAGCAAGTCAACGTTGACAGTGCAATTAGGGGATGAAACTGATGATGACTGTGATGGGTGGGTAGATGAGGAACGCTTCAACGGTGAAGGTCAGTGATTTTTTAATTCAATGATTGCAACCCGAGTGATTGAAAAATACAGGGATGTAGTTACTAAATAATTAATTGTCTGGGCAAGGGATTGTGTATTTTCGTGGTTCCTTGGATCAGTGTTTTAATTGGTCAGTAGTTGTGTGGACAGTGATTATGTGGATCGGTGATTGTTTGGACGAGGGATTATGTGGAACGGTGATTGTGTGTTCAGTGTTTATGTGGGTCAGTGATTGTTTGGGTCAATCATCGCGTGGGGCATTGTCTTTGTAGGCGTTCATTCATTGTGTGGGGCCTTTGATTGTGTGGGTCGGTGATTGTGTGGGTCGTTGATTGTGTGGGTCGGTGATTGTTTGTTTGTTGCCTGTTTGTTGTTGTTTGTTTGTTTGTTGCCTGTTTGTTGTTGTTTGTTTGTTTGTTGCCTGTTTGTTGTTGTTTGTTTGTTTGTTGCCTGTTTGTTGTTGTTTGTTTGTTTGTTGCCTGTTTGTTGTTGTTTGTTTGTTTGTTGCCTGTTTGTTGTTGTTTGTTTGTTTGTTGCCTGTTTGTTGTTGTTTGTTTGTTTGTTGCCTGTTTGTTGTTGTTTTTCTCAAAGAATCTCCTTTTGCGCAGTTATCGAGAATTTTATTTCGGTAAATCATTTTTCCTTCCTATTACCCTTATAGCATCTGATCTGTTGAGGGCTTATAGCATCTGATCTGTTGAGGGCTTATAGCATCTGATCTGTTGAGGGCTTATAGCATCTGATCTGTTGAGGGCTTATAGCATCTGATCTGTTGAGGGCTTATAGCATCTGATCTGTTGAGGGCTTATAGCATCTGATCTGTTGAGGGCTTATAGCATCTGATCTGTTGAGGGCTTATAGCATCTGATCTGTTGAGGGCTTATAGCATCTGATCTGTTGAGGGCTTATAGCATCTGATCTGTTGAGGGCTTATAGCATCTGATCTGTTGAGGGCTTATAGCATCTGATCTGTTGAGGGCTTATAGCATCTGATCTGTTGAGGGCTTATAGCATCTGATCTGTTGAGGGCTTATAGAATCTGATCTGTTGAGGGCTTATAGAATCTGATCGTGAGATTCGAGTTGGTTTTTTTTTCTTAGAAAGACAAACACAGGGGGCATCGAAGAGCCGTGTCTTAGAGCATTGTTGGTTGGTTTGATACGTTACACAACTTAGCTGCACCTGTCATTGGTGCACCTGTCACTGATACAACTGTCACTGATACAACTGTCACGGATACAACTGTCATTGATGCACCTCTAATTGATGCAACTGTCACGGATACAAATGTCATCGATGCACCTGTTATTTGTGCACCTGTTTTTGATGCACCTGTCATTGATGCAGTTTAAGCGCTGGATGTCACATCTCTGGGAGAAGTCATTACAAAAAATTCGGCGTCACTCAGCCAACATATCAACTCGGCGTCACTCAGTCAACATGTCAACTCGGCGTCACTCAGTCAACATATCAACTCGGCGTCACTCAGTCAACATGTCAACTCGACGTCACTCAGCCAACATATCAACTCGGCGTCACTCAGCCAACATATCAACTCGGCGTCACTTAGTCAACATATCAACTCGGCGTCACTCAGTCAACATGTCAACTCGGCGTCACTCAGCCAACATGTCAACTCGGCGTCACTCAGTCAACATGTCAACTCGGCGTCGCTCAGCCAACATCTCAACCGTTTCAAGTTTTACTTTCAAAGACCAAGAGCAGACAATCCTTTGATAGGAACTGGATGAGTCTGAAATCCTATCAATTCATCGGAATGTACGGGCCAAAAAAATATAGGTCAGGGGGAAAGTTCTTAAGAAAATAATAAGAATAACGAGTTTTTCGATACCTCGCGGGCCACAAAGTCGGTGTTGCGGGCCACATGCGGCCCGCGGGCCGTATGTTGTGCAGGCCTGCTCTAGATAATTAAAATTTGGTTCAATGCAGACAATTGGTGCCATGACGTATCACACGGCCGCTATCTTGGTAGCCACGACCAGTGAACTGCCACTAAACCTAACATGAACCCTAAACATATCCCTAATGACCTCATGGCACCAATTCTCTGCCTTAGCCAAAATTTGGAAGTGTTTTGAAAGAGTGCCGCGCCCCCAGATTTTAAGCGATGCTGATAATTTGCTGTGGCTCTATGCTTTTTTTTTATTCAACGAAAGGAAAACTAACTCAAAAATACAACAACAAAAGTCAAACTATTGTTTTAATTAGTTTATCGTTTACACTCAGAGGTCCCCAAACTTTTTTGTCTCGTAGGTCGCAGACCACTTGCCACGTTTTTCGGTTTTGGGTAGACCCTGCTTACCTGATATTGATTTTTTTTTGCAAATTCATTAACCTCAAATGTATTTTTGACAGCCGGTATAGTGCTACTTACTTTGAAATATTTAAATTTATAACGGTAGTGAAGTGTAGTGTGAAAAACCTTTAAAAAACATGTTAAGTTTTATACATTTAGTAATTAAATGGTGCTGGGTGGCCAAGTGGACTAAACTGAGCGTATCTCAAGTTGGTGGTCTGGAGTTCAATTCCAGCCCGGCCAAGCAAAAACAGCACCCCGGGTGGATGGGACTCGTTAGCCTTGGATGGCAACTCATCTAAGAGATGGAAACTCTGAAATTAAACCCGGAGATGGAGTCCCGAAAGGTGGATAACATTGATACAATGAAACATTCCGACAACATCCTGCGACGTCACTGGTGCCAAGCTGTATCATCCAATGATGTTCCCTTGGGTTATCCAGCGGCGTGGAGAGAGGCGATTTGCTGTTTTTAAAATTTTTAAATTTTTACTTTTTACTTTTATAATTTATGTCTTTATATAATAAGGTAATATTATGTAAATTAATAGGTACTATCTGTGTATGTGGATTATTCCATTCATGGAATGCCAAAATAGAAGTCACGACCTGAATACTTGATTTCCACTAGCGTTGACCCCCATTTTCATTTCATGGACCCCCAATTTTTTTTCGCCCTTTGGACCCCTTGAAAGTTGTCGTCGACCCCTGGGGGCCGATATTGGCCACTTTTGGAATCTCTGGTCTACACTGTACTCTTACGACCTTCGCATTTTGGATTTATCTAAACAGGATATGATCCCATCTGTAATGCAGGCTCCTTTTTGTATTTTGTTTTTGATAGGTTGCCATTTTTATGACATCTTGGCTTGGATAAAAAAGAAATAAAGTGTAAACTGCAAAGCATGGGAATACTTAACTACACGTTGGCTCAGAGTCTGGGAAGAGTTATCTGGCTCAGAGTCTGCTTCAGCAGGAGAAAGTAAAAATTGAATAATGACATTGAAAAGACATAAAATTATCTGCTAGAAATATTTAACACCACACACAGAGACCACTTAATATCCTGCAAAGTCAGAGAAGTCTTATACTGGTACACTGCATAGTCTTAAAGACTTTATTTTTGGGTACCCTTTTTTATTTTAGTGGACGGTGATATTTGCCCCATGTCCACTCTCTAGGTGTCATCATCACAGGAGGTGCCATTACTAAAACAGAAGTTTTTTTACTCATCAGTTATCAACGACTTTGTTTTTCTTTCAGAACTTGTCATCTCTGACTGGGGAAGTCTACCCTGACTTCACTATATGCTTCCAGCACACGGCCTTGACCTTCTTACCCTGTGGCTGGCTTTGGCTGACCTCTCCCATTCAACTCATCTATCTCCAGAAACACACCAAATTCCTGACACTCCCTCAATCATGGCTGTCAATCACTCGATTGGTCAGTTTGTTTAGTTTCATTCTTAGCAAAGTATTTGCTTAAGAGATACTATCTAGAATACCTCAGTGAGGCTATCTAAAATACCTCAGTGAGGCTATCTAAAATACTTCAGTGTTACTATCTAAAATACCTTAGTGAGGCTATCTAAAATGCCTTAGTGAGGCATATCTAAAATACCTTAGTGAGGCTATCTAAAATACCTTAGTGAGGCTATCTAAAATACTTCAGTGTGACTATCTAAAATACCTTAGTGAGACTATTTAAAATATTTTAGTGAGATTATCTAACATTTCTTAGTGAGAATATCTAAAATAGATTGCAATTAAATATACTTTCTTCCTATAAAAGATAAAAAAAATTCATAGCAAGATAAAGTAAGATTTGTATCCATCATTGTTAAACATTGTATTAAGGGAAAATAATAAAAGACTGAAAAGTTAAACCAATAAATCACAGATAAAAAATGTGAAACCAATAAACCACTGATGGTTGAATCTTGTCAGATTCAGATGATAATTTATTGATCTTAAATTGTTTTTTTCCATTCTTTTCAGTTATTTGCTTTGGCATTAACTCTAATCAGCGGACTACACATGCTTACCCCCCTTGAAGAAGGTGGCGATGAGGAAATTTATCCCACATCATTTTATGTGTCACAGTCTGTGTGGACTTCATCTTTTGTATGTATTGATGATGGCTGCAAGATTTTTTAATATTCTTTATTGCTATAAAAAAAATTATGGTGTCGCCGCAATTTCCAGGTGATCACAGAAAAGTTAGCTATTTATTTCTACTACCCCATATCATCATGTTTATAAATATTTTAGTCCGTCTCTCATGTATTCTGTCCACTGTTATGATTCAAGCTCCTCTTCATTGGACTGAGATCCTACTTAACTAAAACATGTTCACATCAAAGTTTGAAACTACACAAATAAAACAGCTCTATGTAAAATTATAACATGGTTTTAACATTGATAAATACCTTCTAATAAATGACTACATTTCACCATTCCATCTTTGTCCAAACTGATAACCATAGTTGACAGCGAGCATTCTGTAATTGTGTCGCCATCTGCATATTTTATTATAATTAAGATAACAAAATATTATTGCACTTCATCTGTGGCTAACTACTCACAGAAATTTTATTTTTGTGTCAGAATGTAAATGTGTTTTCTTGTCTTTGCCAGCTTATGGTCTGTGTGTTGATGGTACTGTCCCAACGAGCTGGGTGTCCATCTCCCTGTGTTGTTTTTATATTTTGGACATTAGCTCTGGTCTCATATGTCATCCCAGTGTACACACTCGCCATGCAGGAGGTCAGTTTGATTCTATAGTTAAGAAAGATAATTTTATGTAAAGTAACCTGTAAATTAATCTATAAACTGATTACAGTTTAAATCTTAACCCATTTTCAGTAGAAATTTTTTAATAAATCTTGATTAATAAAGATTTTTGATTCTTTGGTGCACTACAGGCTTATGTCAACAACTCGGCTCATTTTTCTGTAGTGTGTTCAACGTTCGCTTTAATTGCTATTGAGTTTGCTCTTCAATGTTGTGGAGAAACAAAGGTCTTCCTCACAGAGCCCATACTAAATGGAGTAAGTTACAACCATCTTATTCCAACTATTTTTCTTTAGGAATTGTATCTGCATTCATTAAACCACAAAGTTGCCCACAATCAGCTGGTCTATATTTAGCACTTTTGTGACGGTACCATCACTAATAGATTAGCTAAGGTAGCAGCATAGAAATTTTCACATGTTAAAGTATTAAAATAACCTAAGATACACAAAAATTATTTGTGTACAAAAATATGGCTCTACACTTTGGTAACATTGAGACCCATGAATATAAATGGGATGTTATTAAGTAAAAAACATTTACTTTATTAATTATTATTCTTAAAAGGAAAACAATTATTATTAATAAATTGTTAGTTGCTTTTGTTAATTATTTAATTTTATGGTACAATGAATTTTTTAACAGTTGGCCCATGAGCCAAGTAAACATGTTTCTCATTACTATAAAACATTTACTAAGAAATTTTTCATCTGCAGACACCTTGTCCAATGTTCAAAGCATCATTTATGTCCAGACTTACTTTCTCCTGGGTGTTCAAGTAAGAAAAAAAATTGTTTTTCTATAAAAGGAAATATCAAATGACATAAATTACTTTTAAAAAATAATTTTTCTTTATGTTTTCAGTAAGTTTCATTAGTTTCATTCATTATAAAGATTGTTTGTCTTTGTAAACTGATAACATTTTTCTTGAACTAAGTTGTCAAGTTTCTGTCAGTACATTAAAGACCACATAGGACCTTTTAAAATTTTGTTTAACTGTGTGGAAAATTGTTTGCCTTTGAGAATTCCATATACATTGGAGATTATACAGCTTAACTGGGTAATTGCTCAATAAGGGCAGCTTTTTCTTTGAAATAAAATCATATGAATAAATTATGGTAATTTTGCATTGTTAATACTTGATCTTTTTGACTACTTACATTGACTTTGGAATTATTTGGGCTACTGCTTAATTCTTCCGTTTCCAAAATCTTAAATGAAACTGAAAAAAGATGAACATAACAAATGTGAAAGTGATCCGAAGTGTCCAAAAAATATTACAGTTGCTTGATTAAAAGCCATTACCATCTTAAAATGTCCAGTAAAGAAAATTGTTAAATGTTATTAAATTTCTGCTTTAAAATTTAATAAACATGATTATTATTTTTAGTCAGATACCACCAATGACAATTAGAAGATATTTTTTTTAGTCAGGTACCACAGATGCCAATTAGAAGATATTTTTAGACCAATGCCAAATATAAGATTCAGATATTTTTAGTCAGGTACCACCGATACCAACTAGATGACACAAAATTTCTTACCAAATATCCTCTCTAATTCTCCACAAAATACAACAGAGACTCATATTTTTTAACTTTATATTATTAAAGTCAGTTTCTCTCCTAACAGCTTGGTGTACACAGGATACAAGAAGGTGGTTGTTCTGTCGGATATATTTGATGTTCCCATCTTGATGCAGTGTCGCCATAATGTGCCTGACTTCATGGAAGTTTGGTTGAAGGAGCTCAACAATAAAAGATCTCCTCACAAGTATTTTTATTTTATTTACATAAATAAAGACATAGTTATATATACAGGAAGTTGGAAAACATGTATAATATTATTTTATTTTTTTAAAATATTGATTGAATTGATAGAAATATCAAAATCCAAATAAGCTTCAAAACATCTTTTATGAATTTGATTTTCATTTATGATGTCCACCAACATTGGAGTAAATTGTTTTTTGTGTGCTGAATTTTCTTGTTTTCTCTTTGCCAGGAAGAAAGAAGAGCCGTCATATATCTATAGAAATGGCACAGGCAACATAACAAATGGTGCACAGCACAAGTCAGAGGAAAAGACATCAACAGAAAAGACACTACTGTTGCCAAAAGAAAAAGAGGAGGAAAGATATCCAAAGGGGAATAAGCCTTCTTTGTACAAAGTGCTGGGGAAAGTGTATTATCTGGCCCTGTTTAAAGCTCAGATGGTTGGGCTGCTGGGAGATTTGAGTGTGTTCATTAACCCTTTGCTTTTAGAGTAAGTTTTATTTAACTCTTGACACTAACATTTGTTTAAATATATGATTTATATGATAAAAATGTAAGTACATTTCAATAGTGATAGAAGCAAATACAGTTTAAAATATACATCAGTAACAGTTTCACCACACCTAAATAACCACAATATTGAGAATAACGGACGATAAAGTTGTCATCTTTCTTGACATAATAAAAAAATACCCTACCCTCAGATAAGTCCAACTTGAGGAAATCCTGTAAATTTTTCTGCAAAAGGGATCTTCCAAATAATTCCTGGATCAGAATAACTATTATAAGCTGGATAGAGATTGCTGTAAGTGAAATTGATGACATAACTATGTGCTTTGTCATTATATTCATTTATACAACCTTTTTCTTAGGTAATTGATTCTGCTGCATGGTCGGAAAGCTGAGAAACTATACTGAAATAAATTCGGTTGACTTACATTGTTTTTTTTTTTACACAGTCAGATAATTGGCTTTGTCGAAAATAAATCAGAATACCCAGAGTGGCAAGGTTATGTCCTTGCTTGTTCATTCTTTGCCATCTCCTTTGTGAACTCCATGATGAACAACTACCGCTTCTACCACAGTAGCAACATTGGTATGCAGGTCAAAACGGTCCTCACAGCGGCAGTTTATAAGAAGGTCAGACAACATTTCCCGCTAGATATTTTGTGCCCAGAAAATACATGATAGATAACTTGATTAAATTTTATTTTTAGCATAAAAATATAAATAATATTTGAAAAGTTAATGTAATTTGAAATATTTTATTACACAAACTGATTAATTTCTTAGTTTCCCTTGAATCAAAAATATATTTATAAATTGCCAACTGAATACATACAAAATTAAATATTAAAATGATTTCTTTATACATGACTGGTATGAATTACTTCAATATCTTTAAAGATCACATGTTTGCAGCAGTTAATTTAAATATAATTCTACCTGACCCACTTTGTGTCATTTCCTCTGTTCTAAACACTGTTGAACCACACACTGACCTGTTTTGTTCTTCAGTCATTGACGATGAATGCTGAGTCAAGGCGAAAGTTTACGGTTGGGACAATCGTCAACTTGATGGCTGTGGATTGTCCTAGGTTTCAGGATCTGACAACACAGTTGTATGTGCTGATCTCTTGGCCCATACAGATCTCCATAGCCTTCTATATGTTATACGATACCCTTGGAATTGCTTTCATTGCTGGTGGGTTATTGTTTTATATCACACACAACCTTTGCTCTCTGTTTGAGTAGGTTATTGCTTTATTTTACACACAACCTTGGCTTATATTTGAAGGAATAGCTAATTAAAATGTATCAATTTTTTTTTCTCATTGCTTTTAGGTATTGTGGTACTGATGCTTTTGATTCCAACTAATGCAAAGATTTCAACCCTCACCAGACAAGCTCAAGCTAAGCAGTTAACATTCAAAGATCAGCGAATTAAACTTTTTAATGAAATCTTGAATGGTGTCAAGGTAACATCAAATGACAAACCAAAAGTTTTCATTGTGTGAATATTTTACTGCCATGATTTGAATTTATCGTAACCATTATTGAAACCATTTTAGTTTTATATGATTTATATCAAGCTATGGCTGAGTTAAAGATTTTTTAAACGTTTTTCTTTGTATGGGTGTATAAAATCTTGTTGCTATCATGTGTAAGATGTGTTTTTTTAATCTTATCCACTGTCACTTTAAAAATAATAATCCAGTATTTTGTCATATCATATCTATTTTATGATATTTCTTCAGGTATTAAAGTTGTATGCTTGGGAACTTTCATTTAGAAATAAGATCCATGAGTTCCGTCATCAAGAAGTAATTCAACTCAAGAAAGCTGCACTCTATCAGTCAATTCAGACTCTCTGCTGGCTTCTGGCCCCTATTCTGGTAAGTTTTAGACAGTTTATATAATTAAATTCTACATTGTGTTACATCTGCATCTGTCACTCCATATTTGGGATAAAGAATTGATACAATCAACCATAATTGTTTGATATTTATACAAAAAGTTAATGTTAATTTTAGGATTGATCACAATACCTTTTTACCAAATGCATCCTCATGTTGTAGTTTTTTGGTCACAATGTTTTTGTAATAGTTTATTACTTTTTAGATGATTTGTTACATCCTTAGATTTCAGACTGCTGATGTGGTACAATTTGATGCACAATTTTCATTTTAATAAATCTTTTGTTAAATTGGAAGAAAGATAGTTTCTTAGGAACCACATCATATAGTTTGAGATGCACTGTTGTACCTGAATGTGCTATTAACTACTGTTTTGTATTAAAGTTGAATTTTTTGTTGTAGGTGACAGCTTCTACTTTCATAGCCTATGTGTTGATCACCGGTAACTCATTGACACCATCCAAAGCTTTTGTTGCCATGAACCTGTTCAACACCATCCGGCAGCCAATGAACACTCTTCCCATGTTGATCTCACAGATGGTTCTGGTAAATAATTGTCATGGGTGTAACACTGGCTTGTCTTAGTTGTACTTTGTCACAGCTGTAAACAGTCCCAAATTGTCACAATTTTGTAACTTGTTAGAGTTAAGAATTACATATTAATTTTGTTTAAAGTCTTTCCCAGTTTTTTTTACTGTAAATTTATCATTTCCTGGATGTTACATTTATTTAACTCCAGAAACTTAAACTTAATATGATATTTACAAATCTCATTGCCTACAACCAAGGGCTTTATAGGGATAGACACATTTTTATAAGACTACAGAAGTGTTGCTCCCCCTTTTATCATCAGTTTTATTTTCCCTTTCCTAGTGTCATGTTTCCATGGAGCGGCTTAGAGATTATTTGTCTGGAGAAGACCTGGAAGATAGAAAGACTGCAGGAAGTTCTGACGGTTGGTTTATAATTAAAATATTTTCTAAGATATATATTTTGTTAAAGCGTATAATCACCTTGATACATTTTTAGTAAATAAAATATTGAATCTACAAAATTATTCACTGCAAATTTCAAATTAAATCCCCAGAATTCCCATTAGTTATGAAAAAAGGCACCTACAGCTGGGACAAAGCCATGCCACCGGTTCTCAAAAAGTGAGATACGTCTGCTGTTAAATTTTTTTATTTTAAATGTTTTCCAATCAATTCATGTCAGTGCCACTTTGTTAACATCACAGAAAAAATGAACTCCACTTCTTAAGGAGTTCTGAGCTTTCTATGTCTATTTATTCAAAACAAGCACTAATAAAAAGTTGATAATTGAAGAGAATAAAATATCATCTCTAAACAGTTGTAAATGCAAATCTTGAGTTGATGGTGTTATTTATTTTGCACTGATTGGAATCACTTCTTCAAATGCTGTAATAAATCAAAAGGCCAACTTCCTGTGTGTGGCTTTCACTTCAATGTACACAATGTAGGCCTCATACCTTCACTTCATTGTACACAATGTAGGCCTCATACTTTCACTTCATTGTACACAATGAAGGGCTCATAATTTCACTTCATTGTACACAATGTGGGTCTAATACTTTCACTTCATTGTACACAATGTAGGCCTCATACTTTTACTTCATTGTACACAAAGTAGGCCTCATACTTTCACTTAATTGTACACAATGAAGGGCTCATACTTTCACTTCAATGTACACAATGTAGGCCTCATACTTTCACTTCAATGTACACAATGTAGGCCTCATACTTTCACTTCAATGTACACAATGTAGGCCTACCTCTTTCACTTCAGCTTCATCATATTTCTATAGGGTCAGTGTGTCCATTCCTAAAGGCAAATTGGTGGCTGTTGTTGGTCAGGTAGGGACTGGGAAGTCATCCTTGTTATCAGCTTTTCTGGGTGAGATGGAATGTGATGGTGGCACTTGTAGCATTCAGGTTAGTCCAAATGATGATTATATTATGTTAATTTATGAAGAATTTTATAACTTTCCAGAAACTTTTAGACGCCATTTTTATCAGCAATACTTTGTCCCTGCTTTTATCTCCTTTTTCATCTTCCTACAAGTTGCATTCAACTGCATTATTTCCCTTTAGGGTTGCAGCTGAAAGTTGCTTGAACGCAATCCTAAAATTTAAAAAATATATTTTTCATTTGTTGACTTAAGTAAATTTTCCATTTTCTACTTATCAGGGAACAGTTGCCTATGTACCACAGCAAGCCTGGATCCAAAACATGACACTTAGATCCAATATATTATTTGAACTACCCATGAATGAAAAACGCTACAGAAAAGTAATAAAAGCCTGCGCTCTGGAACAAGACATTGAACTGCTGCCTGGGGGGGAGATGACAGAGATTGGGGAAAAGGTGACTTTAGAACATTAAATTGAAAAAAAAGAAATTGTATTTTAATATGCCATTTCCAATACCCCAAAAACATAAAAGAATATTTTATTTCATACAATATTCCAGTCCAATATTTTCAGAGATACAATACCAATTATAATGTGACAGTTTAAAAATAAAATATTTCATTTCAATACTTGTCAGCTTGCCATTAAATCATGGTATCCGGTTGTCATATTTCAGTTTATCAATTTGTCATATATTCAGGGTATCAACTTATCAGGGGGTCAGAAGCAGAGAATCAGTTTGGCAAGGGCTGTGTACCACAATTCAGATGTGTATTTGCTAGATGACCCGCTGAGTGCTGTAGATGCTCATGTAGGCAAACATATATTTCAGCATGTGCTGGGCCCACAAGGAATGATAAAAAACAAGGTGATTGAGCCAGTGAAAGCTTTAAAGATGATTAGTTACACAGTAGTTGCACAGTAAAATTTTTGCCTATCTTTCAAACAAGCTTCTAATTTAAAATGTAATATTTATGAATAGATAAAAATGTCTTTTATTCAACATCATATTGCTCATTACAGACTAGGATATTGGTCACACATGGAATACACTGGCTACCGCTAGTTGATTCCATCATATGTATGGATCAGGGGCAAATAACCGAGTCTGGAAGTTATCAAGAGTTAATGAGTCATGATGGGCCTTTTGCCAATTTTGTAAGGACATATTTACTGGAGCATGAAGATGAGGACATTGATGACCCTGAAGGTGAGAAATTCATTTCAAGTAACCCACTTGTGCCACTCTATAGTTTTCAATGTTTCTTTCGTTTTATTTTGACAGAGGCTACTGATACAATTTCGTTAAAGATGGTTTTTTCTAAAGGCTATATAAAGATTTTATGGTTTTGTGCATATATATAAAGTTTTAACACTTTATAAGACTATATCAGTTATTTATATTCTAAGATATTAATGTAAATTTATGTGTATAGCAGCGTATTTTTAAATTTTTTAGAAATTATTATTACTAGTGAATTAAATACAATTCCGATTGAAAAATTTAAACAATTTTTTTTTTTGGTGAGGTTAACTTAAAACAATTTTTATTTACATTCAACACAGTTCGGCTGTTGAAGGAACAAATGATTGAGCAAGTAACTGCTGTAACATCAGATGAAGAACATTCATCACTCAGGCTAAGAAGGTGAGGCTCAATGAAATCTTAATGTAAGTGGTTCTCATATTATAAAATGTTGTCAACATCTGACATGTTCCAAGTAAACTATCTTTTTTTTCTTAAACTGCATTGTCATTTTGAACTATCAAAGTTGATTTGATTTTTTGTTGTTTTTTTTATTGAATTTTAATAATAATTTATACATATTTATTTTGAACCAAGTGATAAGTAATTTATAAAACTTATAATTTTTATGAATTTCAATGTCCACAGATCAATATCAGACCAACGCAGCAAAAGTTTTGCAGATGGCTCAGTTTTACGCAGCCAGAGGTCCCTACGGTCCACAGCTTCTGCACAAGATAATACTTCCACTGCAAAAGAAACTAAACGTGGGGGTCAGCGAGTTGGGCAGCAGCTGATTGAAGAAGAAAAATCTGAAAAAGGAAAGGTTGTTAACCTCCTTTATTTTACATTTTAGAAATTAGCATAGAATTTTGAAATGTATATATCAAGCATTGCCCTCTAATATAATTGGCAATAGATAATTTAAGTGCATTTAAATCTATATAAAATCTCAAAAACTTTATAGAACGTTATTGTAAAACATGAAATCACTTGGCCTGAATTATAATTTATTTGCTGTTAGTAAATTATTTTAAGAGGCTGCTATGATTACCCAATATAGGTTTAAATTTTTATTTGTTTATTACATAATAACTGTAGAAACAAAACTTTCTTCAGAGTTGTTATGATTTTCCTATTAATAGTAAGCAGGATTTGAAATTGACAAAAAAATAATTAGTTGACATTTGCTATGCATAAAGACTCATGGAAAACATAACTTATGACAAAAACATGAGAATAACTTATAGAGCTAAATAAATGTGATATAATACATTGCTTTATTTGTTTGTTTTAAGTGATGTTTTCAAAAATTAAATTTGGAGGCTTTGAAATAACTTGTATTTTTTTAAAATCCAAGGTGCGTACAGCAGTATTTCTAACTTTACTTAAAGCATTCGGCTACATCTCTGCCCTGATGGTGCCAATCACTCTTGTACTTTACAATGGTTTCAACATCGGGGCTGGTATCTGGTTGTCTGACTGGACTGATGATCCATTTCTACGAAATGAGAGCAATGCTGGGACCAATGATTACACATCTAAAACATACATGTATCTTGGTGTCTACTCAGCTTTGACTTTAGCCCAAGGTTAGGAAATGCAGTTTATACTAAATTACATGTCAATAAACATTGGGGTGGGATATAAAAACAAGAGTTACATGTTAAGTATCACTAAAACTATTTCATTCATGTTTAAGTTGAAATCATAGCATTAATATTTCTAGGAACAATAACTGTGCACTGTTGAGAGATAAAGAAAAATATACCAGTTTTTCTACAACTCTAAGAAATAAACACAGTTATTAATTTTTAAAATTTTTCTTTGCCCAAGAAGCTTTAAATAAAGTAGAATTTAAACTACAGATTCTAATAAATAATGCACCTCTCTTCCCAGTGGTCACCAATGCTGTGTTTATACTTCTCATCTATGTTCAATTTGTCAATGCTTCTCGGCGTCTTCATAACAGCATGCTGGAAACTATTCTCCACCAACCAATGGCTTTTTTTGATACAACTCCACTTGGCAGGATCCTAAATAGGTGAAGCTTTATCTTAACATTAGTAAACTAGAATATATGACCCGATGTTATGAGGATAATGGAAAAAATATTGCACTAATTGCCACCTTTTCTTGCGCAGTCACAACATCTAAAAATCCAATTTTTATAAATGTAACTGAATCAGTTTTTGATGTATTGTATCCTCAAAGAAATTTTTTATTTAAATAATAAAAATCTTTAACGCCCTTGAACTGAATATTTAGGAAATAATAATAGTAGACTTTCCTTATTTTTAAAGACTGATCTCTGTATAGATATTACGTTTCACATATCATTGGGTTTTAAGAATTTTATTCTTATATAGGCCATCTCAACCATTTTTCATGCCAATGAAATACAAAGAAAACATATTTTGTAAAAATTGTAAAAACATGTACTTAACTTTAAAAAAAATGCGCATGTACCATTTTAAATATCTTTAGCATTTTAACACATTTTGATCAATTGGCATAATCATTAAAAAAATACCCAACCTCTGCCTCATTCCAGAACCATATTATTGTAAAATCGTTAAAAACATCCTTCTTCATATTTTAAAGATAAATCCGTTATCCACTTTTCACAACTAAAAGTCTTGTTTTTTTATATCTATCTTAATTTCACAAAAAGTTCACACGCCCCTAAACTGTATTTTGCACAAAATGGAAAAGCAAATATTTCCTTATATTTTAAGAAAATCTTATCCCCTGTTTGTTCATGCCCTGAACTGTATTTAGTGAAATAAATAGTAATACCTGTATCTATTTTTAAAGATTAAATTTTCATGTCTGTAAAATTTTGGGTTTTTAGATATTGTTATCCACATAAAAATGTCCCCACTCTCGTTTTTTCACGTTAAAACTTATTTTCAGTAAACATTTACAATAAATTTTAAAATTTAACATATTTTTATCTTCATAAATATGTGCCCATCCATTTTCCTTGCCCTTGAATTGGATAATATGATATATAATATTTAGAAAAATTGAAAAGTTAAGATGCTCTTATCTTCAAAGAAAATCTTATCCTCCCCAGCTTGACTGGGTTTTGAGGTATGGGTATAGACTAATTATGTCAATGTGTCCACAATGTAGCAATGCCCTTGAATTGCATTTTTGACATTACTGTAATACATATTTATTTAAATTAAAATCTAAAAACCTCTTATTTTATATTATCTATAAACTAATTTTCTGGAAATATTGGAAAATATGGCTTGATCATCTTGTTATTTTAACTACTTTTCTCTTTTGTAATTATTTTCTTTAAATATTGGAAAATATTGCCTGATCATCATTTTGTGTCAATCTTGATTTAGGGAAAACCTTAAAATCGGGTATCCTAATTTCCTGTAAAAATAGTTTAAAAATATTTAACTCTAACATTCAGATAAATACTTAAATAATTCTATAACTATTATTTTTGTTAGTTATTTATAATAATATTACTTACATTGTAAAGATTACATATATTTACATATTATAAGAATATTGTTTTATCGGATTTAAATTGATTCAATTTCAGTAAAATAAAATAAAACTTACTATTATCATTTTTAAGAAATTCCTTTAGTGCATGAATTTCAGTTTTTGTGGTTATTGAACACAAATTTACAAGCTCTTTGGTGCAGTTATATGGAATTTTATATTGTGCACTACTGAAATGATTTTTTAAATTTAAGTTAAAGTTTTCATGATTGTTTCAAAACAGGCCATCACAGGTTGTATTTCTTTTCATTCAAACATTTATTTTTATTTCAAGTTGATTAACCTTTATCGAGTCAAATATGACATTTTCTCAACTAAATTATCTAAATGTTCTCTTATGTGCATTTTATAATCATTCATCACAAACCTAGTCTCTTTTAGTTTCTCCTGACTTCGTTCTAATTATTGATTCAATTTATTATAAAGCCATCACAAAGCCTGGTTACTATGTAATACTTTACAGATTCGCTCGTGATGTTGATGTTTTAGACAGCAATTTGTCTCGTCAACTGCGGATGGTGCTCCAAACTTTGTCTACAATTGTGGGGATTGTCATAGTTATATCTTACACCACACCTATCTTTCTGGCAGTCGTTGCTCCAATCTTTATAGTTTATGTCCTGTTCCAGGTTAGCTTTACACCCACACTTTTTTTTTACACATTAGATTTGGCTCTATTAGTATGTCTTCATTTAGATAATCTTTATGGCAATAATTAATTTACTTTTTGAATCCAACTCTGAGATAACTGGTTTAGTTAGGTGCTTTTTAGGTTATCTGAATTGTCTATCATCCTGGAAAACTTTAAAATATTTCTCACCTTATTTAAATTAATCGATCTACTAGATAAATACATTTAACAAAGTTTAACCTCTATTTCTTTATTAATTTTTAGAATATTATTTAACTGAAATTCTTTTTAGATTATGTTAAAGAAGTAAAGTTAAGATGTAAAATTTTACTTTGCAGAAATTCTACATTCCGTCTTCCCGCCAATTCAGGCGTCTTGAATCAACCACTAGATCTCCTATATTTTCCCACTTCTCTGAAACCATTAATGGAGCCAGCAGTATTCGGGCTTACGATGCTTGTGACAGATTTTTCTTAGACTCTCAGAGCCAAGTGGATGTCAACAACAAATGTTTCTTTGCCTCAGGCTCTGCTGCGCGGTATAGAATAATTCCTTTGAATTAAAAATTAAAATAATGATTTATTAAAAATTCATTTCAGCTTATGCTTTGAACTGAAAATGATTTGTTAAGATGAAATTTTAGAAAAAACATTACTAAACTTTGTAAAAATTGATTGAATATAACAGTCGCTAATTCATGTTGAAAAATTATCTGCAGATGGCTGAGAGTGAGGCTAGAGATTCTTGGCAGTATGATTGTTTTATTTGCTGGCTTATTTGCCGTCATCTCTGATGATATCTCTGGCAGTTTGGTCGGTTTGTCCATTACGTACGCCCTGCAGGTTGGTTTATTTGTCCAGTACATATGCCCTTATATTTTCAACTTACAGACCTTTTGGAACTTTTCAGAGTGATTTAACTTTTTCAATGTTTTGATCATTTAAATTATTAAAAATAAAACTATATTGTATAGTTGCTTTTAATTATTAGCTTTTGTCATACATATGAAGTAAATTCATGATGATATGTTGTTTGCTTTATCAGATCACTCCTTTTTCATGTTTTTTAGCAGCATATTGAGTTGTGCACATTTTGATATAAAATAAAATTATATTTCATTAAAAGAGGCTAAATTTATTTACTGTTTCATTGATTACGATCACCATACCTCACCGACATAATATTGAGATAGACAGTAAGAAAAACAAGGGCTAACAAAATTATTCTCAGGTGACGGTGGCGTTAAATTTGTTGATACAGAACACAACAATGCTTGAAACTAACACGGTCTCCGTTGAGAGGATTGTTGAGTACACTAATTTAGATCATGAGGTTTGTTGTTTCATTTTCCTATTCAATACTTCTCAGGTCACGGCACAAATGAATCTGATGGTGCAAAATGTGACAGACTTAGAGACTAATTCTGTATCGATAGAAAGAATTGTGGAATATACAGAGTTATCTTTGGAGGTTTGAGCCACGGCATATCACTGAACAAATTTGCTTGCACTTGGTGGAAGGCTGTTTCTGTTATATACATTTGCTTTTCTTTATTGCTGAATACTTAATGAAATCTCTGCTGATGGTCGCTTATGCAGATTGCAAATGATATATTAAAAAACCTTATGACAATTTCCGGGCAATAACAACTTTTTTTAAAGCATGTGCTTTTTTGCTGTATTCTTTATACAGTTTATTTGTGTGCACAATTTCTCACTAAATTGCACTTAATGATTTGGAATAAACTGCCTGCAGTTATGTTACACGATCTTTCATGCTATTTTCTCACTTCTTGTGCAAATAATAGAAATAATTTATCTTAATATTTAATTTAATATAATTATTAGTAATTCAATTAATTTTCAAAGAATATTTTTTTTAACAATGTCTTAATTATTTGGTGATTTCTACGCTGTTTTGATTAATAATTAAATGTTAATGTTAATGTAATACAATGTAAAAATCATTGTAAAACAAATCTCTGTAAAATATGTCTGAAGAATTATTTAAAAATTTGAACCTTGTGATAGATTTCTATACCTGGCATTTTCACTTAATCTATAGCCTGATTGGGTTCATATGGATAATCGACCTCCAGCGCACTGGCCAGACCAAGGCTCGATTAAGTTTGAAAATTACAGCACTCGGTACAGGGATCAACTTGATCTTGTGCTCAAGAGAGTTTCATTTACAGTTAACCCTGGAGAAAAGGTTGGCAAAATATTTCTGTCTTCTTAAATATTGTATCTATCTCAGTTGTGTCTAATTTTTTGAGACCACTGTGCAAACATTTCTGTTGTGTGTTAAGCAATAGCAATAGTTCATTCACATGTCAACAGTATTGCATTGTATTTGAAAATAAAACAAAATTAAAGCCATCTAAAAATTCTTTTTACAATATTAACCCCATGCTTAAATTATTATTTTTTTCAATAAATTTTGTCATCTAAAAAAAAATAGGTTTATGTTTTGCTATAATAAGGAAAGCAATTGATACAATTTTGACATTGGCACACTGAAACAACTCAAGCACATTAATACTTGACTCTCATCTTTGCAAAAATCTTGTAATTCTTTGTATTTTAACTTTCAACAGTCTTGATTTGGCAATAAATAAATTATAAAGAAATATGCTTTAATTTTCTTTAGATAGGTATTGTTGGACGTACAGGGGCAGGAAAGTCTTCTCTTTCCCTTGCCTTGTTCCGTCTGATCGAGGCAGCTGAAGGTCGTATTCTTATTGATGGTATTGATGTCAGCACCATAGGATTACATGACCTTAGGTCCAAGTTGACTATTTTACCTCAGGTAAATAACTAATCCAAGCAGATAGGTTTTTTTTTTAAAGTCATAAACATATTAAACTATTTCATCAGTTATTACAACAATTGTTTTGGATATACAGTCATTCAAATAAATTTCTCTGCTGTCATGAAATAAGTGTCGAGCTACAACAAAATTGCTGAATCTCTAAACATACATTATTTGCAAGACTACTACAGGAAATTTTACAATAGTTTTTATACTAACTTTGTGCCTATCTTCACGGCTTCACAACATCTCCATTAATCCAAGGTATTTGTTTCCCTGTAGGATCCGGTTCTATTTTCTGGGTCCATGAGGTTCAACCTTGATCCATTTGATGCTCACTCTGATGAGGCTATATGGGAAGCTTTAGAAAATGCTCACCTGAGCAATTTTGTTCATGACCTACCTGGCCAGTTGGAATATATATGTGAAGAAGGAGGACAGAATCTCAGGTTAGTAATGAAAGTCTATAGTAAAGCCATGATAGTTTTTATCTCTATAGTGTTATGAAAAAGTTGCAAAAATCCCTTTACTTTCAATGAAAGTAATTTTTAAGGTGAAACGATTAATTTTCTCCTTCTGATAAAATTGATGTACTGTAAATGTTACTACAAGTGTAACTGTAAGTGTAATTGTAACTACAACTGTTACTGTAAATACAAGTGTAAGTGTATCTACAACTGTACGTTTAATAAAACTCCATCAATTTGATTTTTTAAACTGCAGCGGCAATCATTTGAGGGAAATAACTTTTTGTTATTAATATTTTTTTTTAGACAACTCTTAGCCCATAAAAAATTTAGTAGTTGATAAAAACAAAATGAAAAATGCATTTGATGTAAATTCTTTGCACCGATTCTACGTGGTTCTTACTTTATCTTCAGTGTTGGTCAAAGACAGCTGATTTGTTTAGCTCGAAGTCTTTTGAGGAAGACTAAAATTTTAATACTTGATGAAGCCACTGCAGCAGTTGATCTAGAAACAGATTTTTTGCTACAGAATACTATAAGAGAGGCATTTAAATACTGCACAGTGCTGACTGTGGCACATCGGCTCAAGACAGTCATTGATTATGATAGGTAATAAATAGGACAGTCATTGATTATAATATATAATGGTATATCATTGATTATAATAGATAATGGTATATCATTGATTATGATAGGAAATAAATAGTACAGACATTTTATGATAAGTAAGTACAGTCATTGATAACGACACTTATAATTTATTTATATTTTGGAGGATACTTTTTTTTTACTATTTTTGTTAAATTTTTTATTATAATTTTAAATATTATTTAATCATGACTATTAATATGCTGGAATTGGTGTTATATGGATGTATTTTTTTGTACTTGTCTTATTTAGGAATAGTTACACAGACAATACATCCAGCTTTGATCCAACATTCGCAAAGTCTTTGAATCTTTTGAGGGGGGGGGGGTGTAATTTGCAGCAAAGTAGTCAAAATAGATAGTGTAGTATCAAATGTAGAATTGCATTTACTAATTTCATCTATTTGCTACTTTCTATCTGATACAGAATTCTTGTTTTGTCCAATGGAGAAATTTTGGAATTTGGAAGCCCTGCAACTTTGATGGCTAATAAAGAAGGAATGTTTTACAGTATGGCCAAAGAGTCTAATTTAGTCCAGTAAAATAGACAAACCCAAAATGTGGAATTCAGCCATTTTCAACAGATGTTGGGGTGCTTTAGAATGATATCTTACAAGATAAAATAACTCATTTGCTGTAGCAGTATTATTTACCTGTGTTTACTACCTACGTTTATGATGATATGTGCTTGTGACTTATGAAAAGAGTGTGAATCAGTAGTCTGAAAAATGTATTTTTTAAAATGGCTTTAATGCAATTAAACATTTTCCCTGTCATTTTAACAGATTGGACCACCATATTATCTTTGTTAAAGAGCAGTGGTACAATTATATGTAACAATAATCACATCTGTTTGAAACATTTGATCAAATAGGTCCTACATTTTAAATATTTTTGATACTCAGAGCATCTGTACTCAACAGATTTTAAGATGATCTACTTACCACATTCAGAAAATAATACAATAATTTGTATCGGGCAAGAAAAGGAGCTTTGTCAAATTTTTAGCATAATTAACATCCATGAGTCTCATATGCTTTATAGTTTATAGTAACAAGGAATGCATAGCTCATCTTGTACTGGGATACATGTGTTGTGTACTCGTTATCTCAGTTTCCCATTTTCCAAAGTGTTTACTCACATATTGTTGAAACAATCTGCGTTGATCAAAACTAAACTTGTAGATTGTCATCTCTTGCTTTTGGAATTTTTTATTTTATATCTTTTTCAAGGTGCTTTTCAAAATTTTGAATTCATCTATCTTGAATAAGCTTCATACATTTCATTCAAATTATTAAGAGTGTATGAAAATATTGGTATGCTTGTTACTTCTCTAATTCATCATAATAGGTGAAAAGATGTGTGTGGGGGTATAATAAAATTCTCAATGGATCAGTTTGAAGTTTAAAAAAAATGAGCAGTTCAGTCAAAGCAGTTTTAAATAACCAGGAGCCTACTTCACTACTACGGTTATTAATCTTGAGTGGGAAAATTTCACGAAATGTAATAATGCCTAGTGACGTCACTCATAAAGCTCAACCTCATTTGATAACAGGATTCATATTTTTATGCATTGTTTGCTTCTTGCCACCAACATTCCATTATTTATTATTGAATATTTTTTTAAATTTTCCATGAATTCTGCTCACAGAGCTCTGGGACTTTTGATGAGTGTTACATTTGTACACGTTACCCAAAATTGAAAGTTAACAAAACATACTGTCCATAAATAGGATGTCGAGTTGTAGGTGGTGCTATTCTTTTTTTACACTTTATCCCAAAGTTGTTTTTTGAGAGAATATGTACTGGCATAATGTCCCCATGATTGTTGATTATTGACATTTTTCATTGTCATATTGACATTTGTCATTGTCAAGTTAACTTTTTCATACCCCAGTACTAAATTTTTGATCAGTTTAACTATTGATTAGATCAAAATGTTATATTTTTAATGCATCCAAACTTGTGAATAAATATTTTTGAATTTTGTTAACTCAAATGAGATCTACACATGTTCATAGAACCATTTTATTATAAGATTTTAATCAAATATATTATGAGCTTTTTAGCATTGTTGTTTAGATTTTTAAGTTTCTTCTAACAGAGAATGAGTGATCCATAAAATTATAATATATTTTCTCTTAACTAAGACATTGATGCTCATCATTTCTCTGTGCCATCTTCAGGTGCTAACTATAAAACTTAGCATTTAGATTAAAAACATTCCTTGCAATAGGATGCTTTTTCTTGAGCATGATCTAATGTTTTCTTAAACATTGTAGCATTGCATTCCAACTATATTCCATTGCATTTTTTACACCTTATCTGGTATCCTTGCAGGTTGCGAGGAAATGTAAACATTAACTAAATAAAAGCTTTTTTAATATAACATAACGTGTTCAAATTTTAATGTTTGGTAAATTTAATAACAAAGAAAAGGTTTTTGTTATTCGTGGGATAAATTTATTATACATTTAATGAAATTTAATTCAAGAAAATAATTTAGTTAATAGTTAATAGAAATTTAAGCTGGAGTCCTCTGGCTAAATGTTCGAACATCTGCCTTATAACCAAGGCCCAAGGATTGGGTTTAACTGCATTTAGAGTCACCTTCCAGCCTTGGAGTAATAGATAAGTGGAATGCAGCCCATGGAGAGATACCTATTCTAGTCGGGGGAATTCCTTTCACTTCCAAATTTCAATAAATCAAACAATAACAACAAATAAAGATACAAATTGTGAATGTTTTGAGGTTTTGTGTCCTTAGTTCATTTTAGTGGTAAAAAGAAAACTTGATAATAGAGGCCGACCGAATTTCGGCTTCGGTTTCGGCGCCGAAAGTGGCCATTTTATCACTTTCGGCCAAATTTCGGTTTCGGCCGAAAATGAAAAGTTAACTTTCGGCTTAATTTCGGTTTCTGCCGAAAGAGAAAAGTTAACTTTCGGTTTTTCTTCGGTTTCGGCCGAAATTGACTTAGACTTTCGGCCATCCGACCGAAAGTGACTCAGGTTTTTGGTCATTTTAATACTCAGTGAAAGCGATATTTAACAACAAACTAAGCCACATTTAAGAACAAATTAAGCGATCTTTGAGAACAAACTAAACGATATTTAACAACAAACTAAGGGACATTTAAGAACAAACTAAACGATCTTTAAAACAAACTAAGCGATCTTTAAGAACAATCTAAGCGATCTTTAATAACAAATTAATCGCTCTAATAGAACAAACTAAACTATTTTTTAGACCGAGCTAAATGATGTTTAAGAACAAAACAAATGATCTTTAATAGTAAACTAAATGATTTAAAAGAATAAACTAAGTGATCTTTAACAGAAAACTAGATGTTCTTTAGGAACAAACTAAAAGATCTTTAACAACAAATTAAACAATCTTTAACAACAAACTAAACGAGCTTTAACAACAAACTAAACGATCTTTAACAACAAACTAAACGATCTTTATAAACAAACTAACTTATCAATAACAACCAACTAAAAGATCTTTAAAAACAAATTAGGCCTAAGCGATCTTTTAGAACCACATTTTTTAGAGACCCTGTTTAAAAATAATATGTTGCATAAATTTCCCTCCCTCCCCCCCCCACCCCATAATTTTCTCCTACCATACTAATTTAAAAAAAATTGTAAAGCAATTTAAATTACTTTTATATTAAAATGGTAAAATCCTAAGTATTCTTAGATCAAGGGTCTCAAGCTCAAATCATAGGGGGAAAGGGGGGGGGGCACAGGAGGTAGTGTCTGAATGAGAGTGGGCCGCATCAAGTAATCCACAAAAAAGCGATTACTACTGTTACAATCTGCTCAACCTTTACAAATAGCAATAAAATCATTAAGGGTTCTCAAGAACTACTCACTGTTGCCAGAGACCTGTCATACAAAAATATATAGAAACATTTAAATTTAAAAAAAAAAGAAGAAGAATTAGACTAGTCGGTGAGATTCGACTGAAACCGTCGCGGAGAGTCACGTTATAGATATGAGAATGGGGGAAACGGGCCGGCGCATTTACACTAAACTTTTCTGTCATGTAGCGGGCCGCAAAATATCGTCTTGCGGGTCACAAATGGCTCGCGGGCCGCGAGTTTGAGATCCCTATATTAGATGTTTATTTATTAATATTCACGATTATCTCATTTTTTATAAAAAGAATGTAAATATTTATACTTTCCCACATCATTTTCGATGTATGCAGAATGTATGCGGGAACGAATTTCAAAATAACTTAATATTTCATTTTCGGTTTCGGCTTCGGTTTTGGCTTCGGTTTCGGCTTCGGTTTCGGCCAAAATTCATTTTTAACTTTCGGTATTTTTTCGGTTTCGGCCGAAAGTCATTTTAAAACTTTCGGCATTTTTTCGGTTTCGGCCGAAAGTCATTTTAAACTTTCGGCCTATTTTCGGCTTCGGCCGAAATCACAAAATCACTTTCAGTCGATCTCTACTTGATAATAATGATATTTAGTAAACCAGCCAATATTTTTTAGATTATCGATTTGATAACATTCTTATAAAGAAAAACCAATATTTCTGGCATTAAAGTAGATCCCTATAACATGATTAAATCATCAAAACACAACATATGTTATTACTTATCTCTACATCTATGCAGTGGCGTAGCTAGGTTAGTGCAGCCAGGGGTAAATGCCAGCAACAATAAAAAAAATGCAAAAGGCCAAAAGAGGCACCAGAGGCGGAAAGCCCAATCTGCACCGCACTTTATTATGTTTTAAGTGTTTAGTCTATCCATCACTTTTCTTTCTAACTTGTTCAGTTTTTATCAGTTTATTTAAAATATATTTGTATATCATTTAACATTTCAATGGTCATTTATGCAGTAAAATTTAGTAAGTTTAAATTTTGCACTTTTAGAATAATATCCATATTTTAAAAAGTTTTTTCAAGTGGCCTACACTATTTGTAATAATAAATATACACTAGATATTTTTCATTTAAATTTAATACTGTATGAACTTCATATTCTGCTTTGGGCAGAGGGATGCAGTATGTCTTGCCTCAGTTGAACTTATGGCTCATTTTATGCTGTTACCTACAGCTTACTTCTGCGATAAGCTACCGTTTTCTATTTGTTTAAGTTTGGGTAGCAAGTCCAAAATAATTAAATATTATCCAATTTAAAACAATAGATAGAAACTTCTGTATAAAATTTGCTGGTAAAACATTAAACTTATTAACTTCCTCTTCCAGAATATTAGTTTTCGGGCTAGTGTTTATATGTTGTCTTCAACAAATTGTTCATACAAGAGAAGTCAAGGATTTTTTATTTCTCTAGATTTGTTAAGTATCATTTAAGAAAATTAAAAAAAAAATGGATTGTCCTCATACTGAAATAAAATTTCTTTCTCGATTTCAAATGTTCACCCAAGTTTGTAAACATAACTAACAGCGAAAAGCAAATGGTTTCTTCTTCTTTTAAACTCTTTTTAAAACGTTTTTTCCATTATTTTAGGTAGTATTTGAAATGGGGACTCATTTTCTTTGTTTTTGTAGCACTCCTTTTTGTGTGTGATTGGGTTGATGTCATGTTTGTGAGAAATTGTTCTATTAGCTACGACAAACAAAGTAGCAGCAGCCATTTTACCAAGGAATAAAATGTTAAATTATAATGGCTTAAAGGTATCTTCTTACTATCTCTTCTTCAAATTTTAGTTATCTACTGGCTATTGAATATAACATTTTTATAAAGGGTGCTGAAGTAATTTTCTAGTGTTTTCTATTGACAAAACACCAGTGACAATATCCCGAAGCTACTACTTTTCTATTACTGTCAGTGTCTGGTGGAACCTTTTAAATGGTCCAGAAGTTACAGCCAGAATTAAATATAAGTTTTCATGAATCTAAGCAATGCTCTGTCTTTTCAGTCATACCTAAAGATTTTTTTAAACTTCTATTTATCCCAAAATTTATTAAAATACCAAAATTAGAATTCATCCTCACCAGATGCATCCCTAAAAAGACGATTTACGGAAAACACATATCATGATGCAAGAAGCACCGTCCCCTCCAATGATATCCATTGAGGACCATAATCTGTCGGTTGTTGAGCATTTCACACACCTCGGATCCAATATTTCTAGTTTCCTCTCTGTCAATGAAGAGGTAAACATCAGGATCACGCAAAAGCAGCAGCAACTATGGCTAAATTGAATAAGCGGGTGTGGAATAATCTCAAATTAACTGATAAAATAAAACAAATTGTCTATCAGGCATGTGTGCTTAGTACGCTCCTATATGGCAGTGAACTGTGGACCACATATACCAGGAATGAGCGGAAACTCAACAGCTTCCATCAAAGATGTCTGCGACGCATTTTACGTATTCGATGGCAGGACAAGGTGCCTAACACAGGTCTTGGAACGTGCAAAAATGTGTCGCATATTCTCCGCTCTTAGCATGATAGGCCATGTAAGGAGAATGGAGGAAGGCTGTGTTCCAAAGAAGCTGCTGTATGGAGAGTTGGCAGAAGGGACAAGACTTATTGGACGGCCACGCCAGAGATTTATGGACGTTTGCAAAAGGAGCATGAAGGAAGCAAACATTGCAAACCATGAATGGGAGATCATTGCTGAACAACGTTCCAGCTGGTGAACAGCAGTCAAAAAGGCAGAAAATGCGTGAACTCAAGCCCTTGCAACAAAATGAGCAATACGGAAGGCCAAATCTAACCAGGAGTCATTATTTTCCTGCAAGAAATGCAGTCAAGGTTGCGATTCCAGGATTGGCCTAGTGACCCATTCCTTGAAGTGTACATAGCTACTCCATGGTCTTGCGAAGATGGAAGGATGTAATTTATATATCATATTATATATATAGGTCAAAAAGTAGTTACAGTCGAATCCACTTATGTCGACCTCAGTTAACTTGCCAATCCTGTAAGTCAACGTTTTTGAAGTGGGACCGCCAAATTCTCTCTTTGTCTTAGCATTTTCTCCTCGGTTAAGTCGATTCTTTTATGTCGCCGAAAGCTGATATCTCGAGCGCAAAAGGCAGCCAAACTTGTCACTTAACCTCAGTTATCTCGATCCCCATGACCCATCGCCGGCTTTTGAACTTCGCAAGAAGAAATAGCAAACAACAAATAAACAAGTTTTTAATAACTAAAAATAATTATTTATTTCTCCAAATATAGGGCTTGTGTTTTAGAATGAACCTAGAAGTAATTTAAATAAATATGTTTTAATTCGAGGTTTAAAAACCAGGTAAGAGTCCATATTATAAATGATCATAATTTGCCGTGTGCAAAACATTGTCATGAGCAGCCATTCACTGTCACTTGCATAATGACTATACTAGAGTTTCATTCATAAGAGTTTGACACGTGCAAAAGCTATGAAACCATTGGTCAGAGACAGCTTTAATTAAATGGTCTGTGCCAAAGTTGAAAGTTCAAAATAAATATTCCCTAAATAGTATTTTAGTAATAAGGGGATGTGTTACGTTATATAAACTATATAGTCATTGGGCAAGACAAGATGGGCAGAATGAGATCACAAAATGTTGAGGCTTCGTCCATAGTAGAAAATACCAAACAATCTCACACTTTTAAAATTCGTAGCTCAAAAAGTACTTAAGTTAAAAAGTTGATTCTGGTTTAATTTTTTTAAATTTGAAATTTGCTCTAAATAATATAACTGTAATATTTTTTTTAAATATTTTTTTTTTACTGAAGTACCTGTATTTATTAACGCACATCATGTACATAAAGAAATTTCAAGCACATGTTAATATATTGCCGGCATATTGGTTTTTGGTTATCTCGATCATCAGTTATCTTGATGCTTTTTGGCAAACCCTGAGGCTGTCGACATAACTGGGTACTACTGTACATCAACATACAGTTTTCTTTGAAAAGGTAAAATGTGTTTATATTATTTAATCACATTATGGCTTAATTGTCTAAGAATTAAAACAAAAATAACATACATACATACATACATTGAAGATTTAAGAAAAATTGATAAACTGTCAATATTGCAATAACAATTTAATGATAAAATTGAACATGATACAACTGCAAGGGTGGAATGAAATTTTATAACACCTGACAGCACATATAAATATTATTTTGAGCTGGTAATAAAAAATAGCCTCATCTTCTCATGCACATTAAACAAATTAATTTAAAGTCAAATAAATAATTCAACAATAGTGAACAACAACTCAAACAACTTCAAGTTTTTAAAGTCATCTCTCTCTATGAAAAGGAAGAATTTACACAAATAAATATGTCAATGCATGTCATAAATTTAATATTCTTGATAAAATTATTTTCATAATAATTTTACATTCTATCTCACACAGTATCATCTTGTAATTTTATAGTCCTTGAAAAACAACTTTAAAGCAGAATTTTCAACCTTTTGGGACCCTACTTAATAAATTGTTTATCTTACAAATTATTGTTTAAACTTATTTTTAACTCATATTAAGATCAATTTATGGGAATTAAAATTATGAATGTACATCATAAAGAATATAATGCAAGTACTCTTTTAATTAATAACTAATAACATTTTTAAAAAGGGTTATATTATTAATAATACGTTAGTCTATTGCGTACAGCATCATACAATTTAAAATAAGTTTTATCATTAAGAGCACTTTTTTTTTTTAAATTTACATTATTTGCTCCAAATTAATTAAAAGGAGTGCATTTTCAAACAAAATTTTTTGAGCAATGATCACATTATATAGAAGCAAAGTGACCCACAGCACTGATCCAATTAAAATAGGGCCTCTTAATAGGGTAAACAAAATCACATTTAAAAATAAAAAGATTTCAGTGTAACATTAATGGATTTTGAGTAGGCAACCCCACTAAAAACACTATATGATTTAGAGGATGGATATCTGAGATGATTTTCTATATTCTTTAATGTTTGTTATTCTACACAGTTGGAAGCGTTCAATCAAAGATTGCTGAACCCAACTTCAAAAAGAAAGTCAGACTTAGACAATATCGATCTCTCTCCTGTACTGGGTTGACTACCACAGGTTGGCATGTATGCTTGGCAAAGAATTCTTGAATAAGCTTACTAATTCAAAATTCACATACCTTTTTATAAGACTAGCAACAGAAAACTTGAACATATTTTTTTAAAGTTAATGTGGATTAACAATTAATCAATGATAGCTTAGAAATTAAATCAAAATTCTATGACCATAAAAGGTTGACTTTTTCCTCAAGACATAATTATACAATTCTTGACATTGATCAACATAAAAAGGTATATTTAAAACCATAACTCAATATCTAATAATAGAAATATCAAAGCAAGTCGTAGAAGTAGTCTAAACCTTGACCAACCTCCCAGATTGAGATCCCAGTACCCATTTCCCTTGCCAAGTTAAGACGGTCTTGTATGGATTTCAGTGAAGGGTACACCATGCTAAATTTACCTTTTGAATCTCTGTAAACACAGTTGAAAAGTTGGTCAAATCTTTATATGGCTAAAAAATCACCTCACATTAAACATTCCCAAGATCACAAATTAAAATTGTCAATGCATGATTTCAATTCTTTGAAACTGTATATAAAAAATGACTTTTTAAAAAAAATATTTTGATGACTTTTCTAGACAAATGTTTTAAAGCCTGGATAATTTATAATTTTAAAGTTAATGAATGAAGCTTACGTGTACTCAAAGCTATGTTCCGCTGTCTGGCTGTTCCAGAGCACGCGAGATGACTTGGACTTCTTCAAATACTCAGCAAATCTGTATAAATAAAAAAAATAATTCATCAATCTAATAGCAAATGAAAATCTTGCAAGGATAGGCCTTCTTTCTTTAACATTGATCAGCATCAAAATTCTTTTATTCATGAGGGTGTGGAAAATCTAAGAGATAATAAGAGGAATATGACTCCAATGTAGCACTCATTTCTGAATGATATATCATTACTGGCTTAGCCATATTAATAAAATGTATAATACATTTCTGACTGATTAAAGTTATTAAAGTTATTAAACAAACACTTTAAATAATATAAAGACTCCTGTCCATACAATGTTTTTGCCAATGATATACTTACTGAGATCCAATAACATGCTCTCCATTCATTAATGTTCCTTCTTCATTAGCTATGTAACGTAAACCATAAAAATTCAGTCCAACTAGCAGCTTTTTTCTGATAGGAGAATCTGATTCAGGGGCCAGTTTAAAGATACAGTCCTTAACCCACTGTAATGGGCTGTTTGGACCTGGTCTGTTCATGCAAATTAGATATGTTTTTATTTTCTTAAAATAACAGTATTTATTTCATGGCATTTATGCGATTTAAAAATAATTAATGTTATTGAAAGTTTTAATATGAAAATGTGTACAAAAAATAAAAACATGAATGTCATTAAATTAAGAATACTAATTTAAATGGCCTAATTTTCAAACCTTAATTTGAATAAATAACTTTCACACATTTTTTTATACTATAATCTACTATTTTAAAAATCTATCTGTGTTGGCTTTGGTGGGGTTTTTTTTTGTGCACAATTGAACTAAATAAAATAGAATTGAGTCAGAATTATTTTACCTGTTGGGACCAGAAAAGTCATAGGTCATCAGACTAAATTTATCCACATTTTTAGCCATGGCATCAACATCCTCTTTGCTTATCAGACCCTCAACATCTCTGCAACATTTCAGTAGCATTTTTGGGGCATCAAGGCAAAAGATCTTAAATTTAAATTAAGTTAATACATCATACGTTTTAAGAATCAGATGTCACTAAAATGTAAGGACCAATTTACTAGGATATAATTAAAACACAATTGTTTCCTTCAATGGTTTTAATGAAAGAAATGTTTATATATATATATATACCACAAACTACCACAAATGACATCCAAATAGGATTTAGTCTAAACGGCTATCCATTTATTTTAGTTAAACTGAAGAAGTAAGTTTACAAACAACAGTCCATTCAATTATCATTCATTTGATACCTCATTTTGTCTTACAAACCCAACAATAATATTTTAAATAGTTTTTTTAATCCCAACCTCTCACTTCTAATACCTGGGTGCAAATAGTCTCAGCCTTTATATATATAACCACCTAAGAATGTCACCTTGGGGATGTATAAGGCTCAACCTTGGGAAAGTTTGCTTATTAAAACAATGTGCTCTTAATATAGAGAAATAAGTACGGGCTATTAACAAATTGTAGTAGTTCCTGAGTGTTACCGGCCATAGAGAGGAGGTGGAATTACAATGATGAGCTCTTTTTTAACAGCATGAAACATCTCTCCCATGTGATTGATTAGGTGAATCAGTTCTCTGAAAGACATAACATGAATAGATTTATTGTTTAAACATACTTTCATTTAATGTGAAATCCCAAATTAGGTTATCAATAGCCTGTGTCATTTATAACTCCTGAAAGTTTTCCAAAGGGAATAACAACTGATAAAATAGAGAAAAGATTAAATATAATAATTTAAAGCAACTTAACATTTAAATTTATAAACATGATCATTCAAATGATTTGTAAATGTCTTGATATAGATTAATTATTTGCATCTTTAAACTTTAAGAGATTTTATTTATGTATAAAACAGCACATTAAATAATAAAATATAAATCCCATCTATATCTGCACTAATTGTTTCTTAAAAACTACCTCAGATATTTTAACATGTTAAATGCATCATTTCTGAGTGTCTATTTAGTTATCATAATGCTCTTAAGTGCATCTTCCCGAAATGTATTCTTAAATATTATGATATATGTAAAATATTGAACCCAACATATTAAAGACAGATAAATATATCATTTAATTTTATAACAGAATTATATCATTTCCTATAATTATGTATTTAAAATATTCTGCATAATTGGTTTGCCATATTCTATATATTGCCTTTCAATTTAATTGTCTCATGTACATTTTTTTTTTTTTTGTGAAGTGTTTGGCACAATTAATTTGTGATTGCCATAAAATGTATTTCTATTTAATTCTCTGAAGTTAAATTACTTTCAGTTTATTAATCATAGTTTATATTATGCTTCAAATGGTATTTGCATGTTGATTTTTTTCCCCATTTATTTTATGTTGCCCTGATTTTTCAATAAATTATGCACATTGAGTAAATTACTCTATAGTAGGAACGACATAGCGAGATAAGGTGGAGTATCAAAGAGGTAAAAGGCAAAGGTAGTGGATGAGAATGTGGCACGGGATGGGGTTTGAGGTGAGAGTTAGTATGGGTGGGGAGATGGTAGGAGTGGCAAGATTATGGGGAACAGGCAGCCTCCGATGGCATGAGATCTATTAGTTTATTAGTATTTATTTATATATGTGTGTAGTAACTTACTTTCTATATTTGCCACCAAGCTGAGACCAAACTTCAATAACGGCACCTGGCCATTTGTACGTCTGTAAAAAAGGGAAAAGAAATTTAACAAAATAAATAATAAAAGGTGAATAGCGTCATCATTTTTATAAATTATTATTATTATTTGTGGTCTTATGCTTATATAGTGCTGTACCTCAGCCTAGGGCTGGGCTCACCTGGCTGTACATAAAATTTTTTAGCAAACATAATTGTGACTTTAAGAAATTACCTACATTTATTTAATTAAAAAAACAGCTGTATAGCAACAAAACAAAAACAAATGTATATTCACCCCACCCACCCCAGAACTTTTACATGTCAAACCATGGACGGCAGCCAGCAGCATCGTTTATCGGTCAGAGGGGGGAATCAGTCGGGATAGTAGAGTTTAAAGAGATGTGTCTTGAGGGCAGTTTTGAAGACCTGGGTGGTCGGTATATTGCGGATGTGTAGTGGGAGAGAATTCCATTGTTTGGGGTTGCAGAAAGAGAAAGATCATTCACCATATGTTTTAGTGCGTGTCTTGGGAAAGGACAGAATACGCCAGTCGGCGGAGGAGCGAAGCTGTCAAAGGGGTGAATAGACAGAAAGAAGTTCGGTTAGATAGGAAGGGCAGGAATCCAAGAAAAAGTTGTGACAGAGAACAGACAGCTTGTAATCAATGCCTGTCTGTATAGGGAGCCACTGAAGTTAGTGGAGTATTGCTCACGTTTTTTTGCTTTTAAAACTAGCCTAGCAGCTGAGTTTTGAACCTTTTGTAGTTTTTCTATGAAATGTTTTAGTGAACCTGACAGAGGAGAGTTGCAATAGTCAAGATGAGATAGAACAAGAGCACAGACTAGGTTTTTTTTTGCGCTAACTGTGACAGGAGCGTGCAGTCAAGCAAGCCCGCAATGCATGGTCTAGCGTTTCAAAAGTAGGGCAGAGGGCGGGGGACAAGTCTAAACTCAGGTCGTGCTTAAAGGCATCCCTGTTTATAGTTTGCAGTCTGCGGACCTCCCTGAACTCAAGGAGAGGATTGTGGGCCTTAACACTAAGCTTGCAAAAAACACAGAAGTGGTCAAAGGACAGCTCTTGAGTGATTAAAGTAGATCTAACTACACCATCCTGAGGCCTATTTAGTCCCCAATCAAGAACATGTCCACTATTATGAGTCGGTTGGTCGACTGATTGCTGAAAACTAAATAAGTCCTAAGATTCATCATCTTGGCAGTGGAGGGGTTCTGTGGCTGATCAAAGTGAAAGTTCATATCGCTCACTTCAATGTAAGTCCCGGCCAATGTGTTGCAGTGATCTATTAAAGTATGATCTTGTGCGTTTTAATATAGGGATTACATAATAATAATAATAAATGTAAACATACCATGGTCATGGATAAAATGTGTTTACATTTAATTCACATCAGTCTTAGTTAAAATATGTCAAGATTAACAGGCATACAATTACAGGGGAATCTTGATGTCTCACTGTTCAATTTACAAACATTATGCATCAAATTTACAGAGCAAATCATAGCATATTATTACTCTGAGCAGGCACATGAAATTTAAAAAATGGTTAAAAGACATGAATATTTTTTTCCTCAATGCCATTTTGCAAAATTAGTTGTTAAGTAATTAAGAAAAATCTGTGGCTAAGGTGTGACAAATTTTGTCATATTATAATAAAAAAAGTCAACAGAGATAGGACTACTTCTTTTTAGAATTTTGATGAAAGAGTTTAATTTTTAACTGCCTTAAAAGCGTTTTTATTTTTTCTAGAATGTCAATGATAATATTGCTACATTTAAAGTACCCTGATTGAAACTGAAATTAAAAAATGGCTGTACTTTTAAAATAAGTATTTTGACCCAGCCATAATTTTTTTTGATTCACAAGATTTTTAAAAACAAAGAATTGATAAAAGAACAAATTATTTCAAAGTAAATGTTAGCTCTACAAACCTTTATTGTATTCAATATAACTTCAATACAGTCTTCCATGAGATCTTCATTCTTGAATATAGCATTGTAATCTTCAGGGCTCCATCCATCAAAAAGTACCCTCGGGACTGAAAGAAAGACATTTTAATGGCTGTCTATAAATATTCCCATGATTGGTTTTAAAATAATCAAGGAAATAAATGAAATCAAGGTCGAGAGAACCTTAAAAAAGGATGCGACAAAACAACTTCTTCTTTGCTTGAGTGCAATCTCTCCCATTTATTATCATAAAATAACCAAGTTATAAAAATAATTTATAACAAGTGATGCATTATTGTATTATCAACACTGCATGTTAATAGTAGGCGTAATAATATTGATTTCTCACCCAAATGTGTCTTACGACCTTGTACAACATCAGCGATCCAACCTAATGCGATAGAAATTACTCCGAAAAATTAATTTCAAGGGGAGACAATAGGTACATTTTGTACTTTTCAACAATTCTTCCATCTATTTTTTTTAATAACGAAGCGATGAGAATTACCAGAATTCCATGAAAAATAGTTCTAACAAAATTTAGTATTAAAATTGTTTGTAGCTGTTAAAATAAAAATAAACTTTTATATCAATATATCTTATAAATATTTTGCTTCTCGTGTGTCCTGCTTCCTCATCCAAACCCTCCTTTTCCCAACTACACGCTTTATATCAATAGTACTGAGTGAAAAAAAAAAGGCTGTCATGCAGAGCATCATGTGTGATGGTCGAACTCAAGTCACATTGGGAAATGGTGTCGGTGGGCCGTCGAGCGCAAGCTCTTAATAACTCCCTCACCCCCCGGCACACCTCTTGGTTTCCCCGCCACAAGTCCGTGTGACGGCACCCCAGGAACGTCCCCCCTTGAACTCAGTTAAATAGTTCTTTTCATTTTTTTATTAGGAGACGACTATTATATTTATATTAATCAATAAAAAGCCACAGGTGAGGTGTAGGAGTGTCTGTAGGACTAGTGCTTAAAGGCCAGCATTGATTATTGAACATGAGAAGTTAACTCTTTTTTTGTAATACTTGGACACTTCCCAAAATACCCACAAGCGGTGTAAAAAAACTGCACCCGTTTAAACCTTAGTATATATATAAATTTCATTTGGTTACTTCTTCAATTATTTATACTTTGCTCTTGATTCTGGTGTTTATTGAACTAATTAGAAAACAAATCATCTCCTTCCACAGAAACAAAATTAGATGTTTTGGGAGCTTGTTTGCATGATTTCTTTGATAAGTGAACATGAAGTGGATGTGTAAATATTAGAAATGAGTAGTGTGAATTTTTTTTTAGCACTCTGTTTTTAAGACCTATAAAATTTTTTCATTGAAATCAAAATCAATTAGTTTTGAAGTTAATTGTTATTTTCTGTTGGTGCTATTTATATCTTTCCTGTGGAAATTATGTCAGTAAAATCACATAAAAATAGTGGGAGAATTAAAGATATGCGGCTTAATAAACCACTTTGAAAATATTTAATTTAACAATGTTTATAACTCACATACCTTTGTCAACATCATGTGTACCCTGTATTTGAAACGCTCCTCCAGGCTGACGTTTCACTTGAAGCCAGACCGGTGAAACAAAGTTAAACTTTGCTCCAAATAGTTTAGCAATATCATAACCATGATTATTCCACTGGATGGGTGTCAATATTTTGTCATTAATTGTTTCTAGCAATTATCACATAAAATAAAAGGTTAAGAAAACTGCAAGAGAAAAATCATAACTATACACTCGTGAACACAATGGCTTCCAATCAACCATAGCCAATTTAAAGAAAAAGAATCATTATTAATGATTTCATTACATTTAGACAAGATCTTAATTTAATATAATTAATATTAACTGCTGGTAGCTTAAATCAATTAAGTTTAAGTAAATTTCTTTAATGTATTTAGTGCACACACAAAAATAGCTCTAATATCTTAGTCTAAACAGACACTTACAGGTGTTACATATGCAAGAGTTTCTCCTTCAAAGTTTTTCACTTCCCTGTCTCTATCAAAATATTGAGAATGTTCACGTAGAATTTCTCTAATGGTTGGATTTATTGTTACAAGCCCTCTGTCAACAACATTTTTGTCAGCAATTTCAACCTGCAAATAACGATCTTTTGAAATTAGAAAAATCTTACTTTAATCTTAACTGTCAACCATATAAATCCAGACATAACACAAATTTTGCCCCTTCTGCAAAGATCCCAATGAGGCAGTTCCTAATTATCTTTTTCATTGCATAAAATTTGAGAACATATTTTTATATTTTAACTACCATTCATAATTCCTAGGTTACATAAACACCCTACAGACACCCCACTTCTGTATTCTTCACCATGGTCTAAGGCCTAAATGGCCACTGGCTCTGGATGTTGATAAAATCAAATAACTTTTTACAAACATTGTATTTGTCTCATTTAGATTGTCTAAACAATAGAATCACATTATAAATAAATAAACTCAAACAGCTCAAACATTGTAATCGTATATGCCTTATAAAAAAAGAAAACAAAAACATACATAAAAGTCAGTTCAGCAATTAATAATTTATTTGTTTTAATATATTGAGAATTTGAAACTGAAAATTAAATTTTAGTTTAAACTTCATATATCCCATAATTTCTCTTTGAATTAAGGATAGTAAATTACAGAAAATAACAACAAAAACAAATATTAATTACCTTAGTTTCCTTCTTTTTCTTTCCCCTTTGACTTTTTGAAAGGGTAGATTCAACATCTACTATTATGAAACAAAATGCTAAAACTGTCAAGTTTAGGCAAACTATGCCCCGTAGAGATGAAAATGGATTCATATTAAGACTGAAATAGGATAGGATCACTAAAAGAATTGAATTGTATTATTTTTTTTTAGTATTCAAGACATTTTTTCCCCATTTTCCAAAATTCAGTTATGGGGTATGAAAGGGGAGTGTGGAGTATTTCCATAATAGATTAATGCTCATGAAAATAGTGAGAATTAATGACAACTAGCATCATTCAACATACATTCACTATCAAATAACTTTTTTTAAAAAAAGGGCCGCGAGTTTTCACCACTTTGCCTTTAGGTCAGTTAATCTGTCACTGACTAATGTAAAATCCAAATAGGCTCACACAATGGATGTGATGACACTACACAAAGTCAATGGAGCAACATGTCTATTATTATTGAAACTTTCTTACATTAGGTATGGTAGTTATATTCTAGGTTGGAATGTATCAGAACAAATAATTGATCATTTTGTTTTTTAAAAACTGTGATGAATTCTTTATGTCTCTTGACAGTGACAACTATGTTGATGCTAATGCATGAATATCTTTTTTTTGTAGCCAAAAAGATGTCTGCCTAACACATTGCTTATGAGTACATTAACTCTTTCTGTGCCAAGCCACAGTATACTGTGGATTTGACTGATTATAACCCACGGTATACTGTTGAAATAATTTATGTAGTTTATTTCGTTTCCTGCGGCTATCAACCTGACTTTTTTTTATGTTCTTAAACAAAGGATAACTCTTCAACCACCTTCCTGTTAGAAGTAGGGCTTGTTTACATGTGTTTTTTCAAATAATAGTTCAATTTGTGTTGAAACTTTTGTAAACAAAGCAATGGCCACGCCTACTCCAAGCATGTCAGCTGATGCTAAACCACGTAAGTAGTCAATTTTGCAAACAAAAGGACTTTTATTGCTAATTATTGATGCTGAAACATCGGACAATAACCATGAATCATTTGAATCTGATTCCAGTGATGATTTTCAGCATTCTGATGGGACTGTAAATGCCAAATGATTAATGGAAATAGTAATTGAATGGCGATAGTAATAGTAATGATGGTGATTGTCTGCAATTGCATAAAAATTTCAAAACATTTTTTTTAAATATAAAGATACCACGGATGTATAGAGCCTAGAGTTAGAGAATGGATTAAAAAAAACCCACCAAGATCAACTTTCTAGCTCAAAAGGGTTCAAAAGTTATGAATTTGTTTAAAAACCACTTTGTTACTATGGCAACAGTGAGCATTCAGATAATAATACTACTAACGTTACAAAAATGGGTATAACTCTGTCGCTAAATGAAATATTTTCAAAGTGTAACTGCATTATGATAAAAAATGGATATACTTTCTGAGGATTGAAGCAGAATAGGATACCAGCTACACAGACCATATTATGGTAGTCTGGTAAATTCAGATTTGGTGTACATTTGTAAAAATACAAAATATTTTATCTCATAATATAACTAGAAAAATTTTAAATATTGTTGCCATATTGTTTTATCTGTTACTTATTATTATTCTCTGTCTAATTTCCTTTAATTTGATATAAAATACAGCTATCTTACTAAAAGAAATGTATTCAAAATTAATTAATAGATAAGAGTAAAAGCACCCTAAAAAATTTCCATGGGCCGAAAACTGGTCATAATCATAAATTTACCCATCAAGGCCAAGGCAGGGTACAATTTCCTATTTTTGTAAGGTGGTCCTAGAATTTGTAACTTGAAGGATGAAAGAAGGTGATTAATAAATTAGAATTATTTATCATTAATGTAAAGCTTTCTCAAACAATGGAAGTTGTTGTGTGATGATACACTGATAATGGACGCAAGTGGTATTGAGTTGGTGAGTGTTTCACTTGTTATGTTACTTGTTTTAGTTTAGTTTGTTGATTCCTTGACTAGCTTATTTGTTGCTTTCATGTTGGAACGGCTTAAGCCTTAGGACGATAATTAAAACTGAATTATTTTTTTTATTTAATATTAAGTATGCCTATAATTATAGGCTGACTGGACCTGCTTCGCCACTTGCCTTTTTAATTTTCGTGCTTCAGACTTCAGAATAATAACAAAGTTGCAGACGAAACAGCGGATATTCAAACAAATTGTAAACTTCAAAATTGTAAGAGTCTTACTACAAAACCTGGACTGGATTTGTTAAACCATGTAGCTTCGTGATTGAAACCAGGGATTTTTTTTATGGTGGGGAAACAGTTGCTTCTCCACAAAATCATTCACACAGGCTTTGTAATTCACTATCAATGTTATATCATGTTATTCTACTTTACTTAATGACCCTTTGGGGGTCGTCCATTAATTACGTCAAAAATTTTAAGCAATGTTTTACCCCCCCCCCCCCCCCCCCCAATATTTTTAAAAAATATAGTTATATTATAAATAAATGTATAAATACATTTTACTTTGTGCTGATCTATTTAAATGACACATAAAATTGTAGGTAAAAATTTTATTACGTGTTTAGCTTGTTAATCAACAAATTAAAAAAGTTTTTACACTTAAATTTTATAATGTAGAATCAATTAAAAGGTTGTTAAGGACTAAACATCACTGTTTGTGGAAGTATAGATATGATTATTGTCAGTATAGCTGACAATTATAGTATAGTTTTTAGCTGCTATCATCTTCCCATGGAGTAGCCAGGTGTTGCTGTATCGTAACAATGGGTATCAGGGACATCATTTGGGTAGGGCAGTGGGGCATTTGTCCCCCCCCCCCCCGATTTTGCTGGTTTTATTTAAATTGCTTTGTACTGTGGAATATATATGTATATATTATATATATATATATATCTATCTCTCTATATATATATATACACACACACACACACACATATATATATATATATATATATATATATATATATATATATATATATATATATATACAAAATGTGTATTTTTGATAAGATCCGATATAGTTTTGTATATATTTATGTATATAATACAGTTCCTCTGTGTTATTATATTTACATTGGAATTCGGTTCCCCATAGTATTATGAATAGGATGAAGCTGAAAATGCAATAAGTTTCACCACTAATTATAAATCGTTGTAGAAAAATAAAGACATTTCTGGAAAATTCTAGATTGAATTTAGTCTTCTCCTCGAAACATGTCAAACAAAACTTGATAGCGTAATTATGTTACGATTAAGAAAAATGTTACAAATCAATGCACTACTATAACTATGGTACATATAAGTTGCAAGAGAAGCACCAGCAGTACCCAATTCTCTAATTTAACAACTGAGTGTTCCATGAGACAGGGATCCCTATAAAAAATCTGTCAGATAAACAATAAAGCTACAATTTAAAAATCCATTTAAATGCGTTTCAAAAGGAAATAGATAGACCTGTAGTTTTTTTTTTTTTTTGTTTTTTTTTAAATAGCGAATTTTATGGAAATAACTAGATCGGCCCAGTATTGATTGGATATTATTAGGTCCAAATTCATCGATCAGCACTGTCGAGTATGAGCGTTCATTAGTAATTGTTGCGACTCAATATTATGTTCATTAGTTGTTGAACGCTTTTCCCGCGCTTGACTATTATAGTTAGTGAACGCTCTTCCCGCCATTGTATTTATGACGTATTTTTATGCTGAGTCGTGACGTATTGTCTATGCCGTGTTGTGACGTATGTTTTAGTCGTGCGGCAGTCTTGAGTGGAACCTTGGAGTGATAGGATGTTTATTATATTTACTTAGATATTAAAGTTATAGTTATTATGAAGAGGAGTTGAGTTTGTTAATTGATAGTGAGAATAGTACGACGCTTCAACGTATGAAAGAACTGACGAATGTAATCAATCCAAGAAGACGTTATAGGAGTTGACCTATGATTTTGGTATTTTATTTAAATTGAACACCGTGTACAATGATGTGTTAATCATTCTAGAGAGCGGATTAAGAGAAAAATGACAGGTGAAGAGATGGCAACTTTTGACTTCTCTTGCAATAACAATGTTTGTTCGCATTCTGACGAGCCATATGCATAGCACAGACAGACACAGATTAAATTACTCTTATATTGTTAAAAGCCTAAACATATATTTTTATAAGACTATTTACACTCACTATATTGTTAAAATAATGTACGAACCAGTAAATTTTTAAGATTAAAATTTTAATAGAAAAAAAAATTATTGTTGACGTCAACTAATCTAACCCCCTTGTCAACAACTGTCCAACATTTCCACCCCCCTCCCCGGTTAACCGCACTATTTTATGTTCAGTGATTAGTCACATGCAGAACCGTCACTCGACTTTTGAAGGCCCCCTGCTACATTCTTTCACCCTTAATTCAACCATGATCGTTTATTTTGATTCCGCAATTAACTTTACTAATAGTTAAAACAAATAAACGTGAAAATTAAATACTATGGTTTGGAGGAAAGGGGGGGGGGAGGGGGGAGCTGCGTTCAGGTTAAAGCAATAAGGATTTCTTTTTAAATTGGGGAATTCTTGCAGGACAATAACAGAAAGTGCGAACGTTTCTGCCAAAAGCCTTCGACAGCTAAGCCAAAACAGTTAAAGACAGAGACAAACACTCTTAGCTTATTTTATAGATATGTAGACTACGGTTCAATTTTTATTTTTAAAAAGCCACACACATTTGAAGTTCTAATGATATGGGTTCTAGCTTTCGACAGCCGAGTTTGTTTTTTTTTTTTTGTTTTTTTTCATGTTTTACTCTGATGGTTTTTAACGTAAACTTGTGTTCTCTTTTCGCACATTAATTTTTTTTTTAGCTAACGGATTTTTTGTTTTGCAGAATATTTTTCCACGCCACATACATTTTAATTTCTAATGATATGGGTTCTAGCTTGCGACGGCCGAGTTTGTTTTTTTTTTTTTGTTTTTTTTCATGTTTTACTCTGATGGTTTTTAACGTAAACTTGTGTTCTCTTTTCGCACATTAATTTTTTTTTTAGCTAACGGATTTTTGGTTTTGCAGAATATTTTTCCACCTTAAAAAACCTCCAATGATTAACAATCATTTTTATCTTTTGTTATCATTGTATCATAAAAAATAACAGTCGCTTATATTAGTATTATAATTATGATTGGTTTTATATAGGCTGGTACCCTAGCCTAGGGCTGGGCTCACCCCTCTGTATGCCAATTTAACAAACATAGCCAACTTAAAAAAATGAATGAACATAATTAATTCAATAAAACAAAACAAAACGTAGGCCTATATTCACTCCTCGAACGTATATATCACCATATGATGACAACCGCTCTAGTTTTGTGGCTTTTTTAGTTCACTTTTTTTTTCTCCCCATATAATTATATGAACTTTGAATAAAAGGTGACACCGGGTAAGTAGATTTTAACAAATGTATTTTTTTCCCAGTTCCAATGTTTGGCAAAAATAAAGGGGGATAACAAAAAAAAAAAAAAGGTCGTGTCACTACATTAGTATGGGATTAAAAATGATGAAATAAAAACCATGAGATTTTTACCTTTTTTTAAAAACTGAAAATGGGTGGGGGGGGGGGAAGGGACGGGGGGACTAGTATACAATAAATTGTGATTCCCATGATGATTAGTCGCTATGAGCGCTCGTGGGTCATAAATATTTTTTTTTATTTTCCGAGAGTATTATGATAGTCAATGCAATATGAGATATTTTTACAATTATTTTCAACATAAAAACTTTGGGCCCCTTAATTATCCGACTACGGTCACACCTGATCACAAATTTTGTGACATTTGATCCATTTGTTATTATTATTATTAGTTTAGTACTTTTTTTCTAAATAAAATACGTTACTGAAACTTTTTTGTTTCTTTTGTAATCGCATTGGGCAAATTTAAATACCATTTGAGGTCGATAATAAGAAACTGGCCCTGGATTAACTGGCAGTGTCAGATATGACTTTTCTATCTTCAACAAATCCACCAGCCATAGTGGATTTAATTTGAAGAGTACATTAGTCAACAGTTTAGGCACGTTGTTAAATGTTCATTACCGATTCGTTACCGATACTTAACCCCACTCACACTGACGTTCCAAAGCAAACTTTCTTGTTAAGTTAACATATAGGCCACAACCCCCACTTCCTAACATCAGTATTTCAAACCATTTCTTAGTTTTTATATGCCCTTATGCCAGTAGATTTCACCGTTATACGATCACGATTTAAGTTGTAAGTGTATTTTAAATGCTCCATTATTTTGTTCAAAAGAATTATTTCAACTTGTGTCTCTTTACAAGCTTTGGCCTGATATGTCCCAACTCAGCGTCTGAGTTTCTGGTTATATTTTACTGGCATGGTTTGCCCCAACTCATTGTCTGTTTATATTTTACTGGCATGATTTGCCCCAACTCAGTGCCAGGTTATATTTTACTTTTACTGGCATGATTTGCCCCAACTCAGTGCCAGGTTATATTTTACTTTTACTGGCATGTTTTGACCCCAACTCAGTGCCAGGTTATATTTTACTTTTACTGGCATGATTTGCCCCAACTCAGTGCCAGGTTATATTTGACTTTTACTGGCATGATTTGCCCCAACTCAGTGCCAGGTTATATTTTACTTTTACTGGCATGATTTGACCCCAACTCAGTGCCAGGTTATATTTTACTTTTACTGGCATGATTTGACCCCAACTCAGTGCCAGGTTATATTTTACTTTTACTCGCATGATTTGCCCCAACTCAGTGCCAGGTTATATTTTACTTTTACTGGCATGATTTGACCCGAACTCAGTGTCTCTGGTTATATTTTACACCAATGTCTTGATGAACTAACTCCAACACACAATCTTTTGCTATGCCAACAAGGATACCTTACAACGTACGTGTGTTTATAAATGTAAGATGAAGAGGAGAGAGCAATAAGAAAAGTGGTTAATTTAGAGAATGAGAGGATGAGAGGTTCATGTAGAGAATGAGAGGATGAGAGGTTAATGTAGAGAATGAGAGGTTAATGTAGAGAATGAGACGATGACTGGTTAATGTAGAGAATGAGTGGTAAATGTAAAGAATGAGAAGATGACTGGTTAATGTAGAGAGTAAGAGGATTAGAGGTTAACGTAGAAAATAAGAGAATGAGATGTTAATGTAGAGAATGAGGATGAGAGT